CATTAATTTGTTGTAATGTCAGGATTGAAGTCTATACAGTTAATTCCAGAGCTTAAGCTCTTAGTCTTTTCAGCGTTTCCTATAAGAGCAAAAAGAGAAAAATATATTCTAAAAAGAGTATTCTGAAATTTAAAGGACATGGTAATATAAGCATAAGACCAGAGACATTTTATGTGCTAAATAATTGTTGACAATGATTGTGTTTCATTCTTTACTTTATCATCATCATTCTTATGATCTTTATTAATCTTAATCATCATTACAGGCTGAGCATCCCTAATCCAAAAATCCAAAATCTGAAATGCTCCAAAACTCAAAAGTTTTTGAGCACCAACATCATGCTCAAAGGAAATGCTCATGGGAGCATTTCAGATTTTGGATTTCCAGATTAGGAATGCACCACTGGTATGCCTTCTGCAAATATTCCACAAATTTGAAAAAATCCAAAATCTGAAACTTTTTTTTTCAAATCTGAAAATACAAAATCTGATCCTCAACATTTCAGATAAGGGATACCCAACCTGTCTTATTGAAATGTGACCTCATTGTGAGGAGAATACACTAAGAATGATGTTTTAAGATTGAGGTTCAATGGCTTGTTGTTTATAGTAGTTGAGTACAAGCATAATAGGCTGATTTCTCAGGTAAAGCAGACCATAACTGAACCACAATCCACCTTGACATTTCAGAAGTGGCATTAAGCATATAGCAGCAAATTTGTCCAGCTAGTCTTCAACACCCTAATAGGACATGACATTGGTGTGTGTGTGTGTGTGTGTGTGTGTGTGTGTGTATGCCTATCTGTATCTATCATTGTCATCATTATCTACCTGTCTATTTATCTATACATCTTCTATCATCCATCTATTTATCATCAGTCTATTAGATGATCAGTGGTTGGTGTTTCTTCAAATGTGAACAAATATTATGCTGTTGATAAGTTTGAGGATAGCAAAATTCTCTCTAAAAATTTGCACACTATACATTTTTAGAACATACATATTACATTGGGTTGCTCTGTAGTGTTTATAAACATGATTTAAAGTACATGTGAAACAGGTAAAACCAAGATAAATTATTATAAATTATTATAAATATATTTCAAAATATTTTAAAAGAGGATTGATTTTAAGCACATTCATTTTGATATCATTTTTTTAAAGTACCCATTATGTGTATACTTATGGTTTTATATTTGGAGAATTGAATTTCCTGAGTTTCAAATTTGATAAAGCAAGTTTGAAAAAGCTGAAATAGTACTTATAGACTTTGCCTTCCAACAAAATAATGTCCTTGAAATATAAATGAAGAAGAGGACAGCAAGCATGTGTAGTGGGAAGAATAGATATTTAATAGAATCTTATTTATCTGTAGGTTTGGGAAGTCACCTAACCATGCTGACCCTTAACTTCCCTATCTGTAAAAAAGGAATATTCTTACTTATCTTTTATGGTTGTTATAATGGGTAACTATATGAGTAATTTGTAAAACACCTAGCACAGTATCCAGCATTCAATGAATGGCAATGCTGATTAGGTGTATAGTATAGTGGTAGTAATAGAAGGGTAACACAGAATTTCTAAAAAGACACGAAGCCCCAGGAGCACAAAATAACTGAGTCTGATTGTAATTAAATTTTTAGGATCATGAATAATAAGGCTCTATCTATGTTATGTGTTCAGGATTTCTAGAAAACTTTCCTTACTCTTTCCCAATGACTCAAAAAATTTCTTCCTCGGCTGGGAATTCAACAATAAAGATGCTTTTGGTCCTATTTTTGTATAATGCACTTAATTTAAGTGTAATACACTTATTCACACTTAGGTTTAGAGTGAGTTTGCATTTAATCTTAGAACAACGAAAGTGAACATGCATTTGTTAATGATCAGGAACAGCAACAGTACCACTGGTGTGAGCAAAGGTACCACATGCTAATTTCAGCATAAATGTTGCTTACTTCATGAGTGGGCACATTACTTCTCCCGAGCTTGTTTCTTTCTTTGTTTCATCTTATTGAAATGTACATTATATACTTTTTAAAATGTGATAGTTGAAATTTTTAGAAATGTCCTTATTATTCATCATGGAATCTTAATAACAATTATCAAGTGGCTATGTAAAGCATTGCTTAAAGCTGCTTACACTATACTATAGACATTATTACATTTAGTTCTCCCAACTCTATGAGATGGATATTATTATTATTAATTATTATTATTGTTGTTGTTGTTGTTGTTTTAAAGACCAAAAAACTGAGAGGATTAAAAGCAATTAAATAACTTGAATCCAGCCATGGCACAGGAAGTGTTCTGACTGGGTTTTACTGGGAACTTGGCTCCAGTGCCTCTGCTCTTTGTATGCATGTCGCACTTCATCACACTTTGATTTTTACTTGCTGAAGAGTACTATTGCAAGATCTTGATATCTTCTAAGAACTTTTCGTCCATTGTTCTACTTAATCCTCACAAAGAGCCTATGAGACAGTGTGTTGGTCTGAGGTTGGTCAGGAACTGGAACTACTCTAATACTTTGAGGCAGGAAGGTATTTGATACAAGAAAATAGCTTACCAAATCTTCCAACTGGCTAAGAGTGCCGATAATCTCAGCAATAAGAACACTGCAGGTATTGCAAGAAGTCACTGCTGATCATTGTCCACTGGTAGTGCTACAATGAATGATTCCCAGGAGAATGGTCACTGCTTTGCTTTTGCCCTTTAAATATCATTCAAGTCTCTCACTGGCAGTATACAAACTTGAACTCTGCTGGAAGGGAGTCTGGAAAAGGTGGTTTACAGATTTCTAGCCCCTTCTATATAGGAATAAT